TGGTTGTAGTTAGGTAGAGGGATCTAAGGTGCTTTTTCCCCAGAATTGGGGGTGGGGAGGGTGGGAGAAGTCACTTTCCCAGAATCCTCTCCAATAGCTACCCAGGATTCTCTAGAGGAAAACAATAATGGCCAGTTACCCACAATTGGGGCGGGGGCGGGGGAAGGTAATGGAAACGGCTAGTTACCCAGAATTCTCTGGGGGAACAAGAGAAATTGGTTATCCAGAATTCTCCCACGAGGGTGGGGAGGAGGGGGATAGGGGCAAGGGTCAGATGTGTTCCTGGGATGCTTACGGGGGATGGGTCATTACCAAGATTTCTCCATGGCGGATATTTTGGAGCGCGTGGAGTTAGAACGAGTAGGGGGAGCGCAAGCGCTGTCAGCTCCGCGGGAAATTCCAGTTTCCCCAGTTCTACCCCACGCCTAGGGCTCAACCTAACCACTACGGCGCCAAAGACCGGATTCCCAGGCGCGCCTTCCAATCAAGAAGGGCTCGGGGCACAGCTAAGCCAATCAGAAGGGCTCTGGGCTCATCTAAGCCAATCATAAGAAGCCAGGTACGGCGACTCCAGAAGAGAGCGTGTGACGCAGGCGCCGGAAAAAGAGGTTACGGGGCGCCGGTGGGGACAAACGCAGCCAGACGCCGGATTTGTTGGGTGGCATTAAAAAGTAATTCTTTTTAGTCTTCTTGAACAAAATTACATCTAAACTTGGAAACTGAACTTTATGCTTTTTATAACTCTAGGAACTCTAAAATAAGGAGCACCCAAGGCACAGCACTGGGAGTCAATGCTGCGTATTCCCAGTGGGGCTTAGTCCACCCCCTCTTCCTGCAATGCGCTTGTGAGCCACTCAGCCACCTCTGACCCTGTTGTCCCCGAAACTCGCGCTGGCATTTCCTATCACTTCTAGATATGGGAGAGAAAAAAAGGAAGAGGGAGCCCGACTGCTGACACAGTCCAAGTGACTGCATCTTTACAGGCATCCATCTGAAAAACCCATCCGTAGTTGTTCCCTCCCAAGCGACCCCGGTAATGTTCCTGGGTAAAGGATGCCCTTGGTTATCAAATTCCCCTAGCTCTTGAGGCTGGCTGGACGTTATCCCTCAGAGGGGAATGAGCATGGCAAATTGAGACTTTTGTTATTCTGAAGGATTCGTGGATTCTGTGAACTCTTGATTGCTTTGAAATCGGTCCAGGTTGTGAGACGTCTCAGCGCACTTTAGCTCAGCTGTTATTACTGTTTCTAAAGGCCACATAAAGGGACTCTGATGGTAGAAATTCTTCACAGAGGATTCAATTCTATAACATTTCTCTCTCAATAAGGCTGGTGAATAGACCTTCATTAAAGGACCCAGGAATTAAAATTTCCAGGACTCAGAGGGGTGGGGTCCCCAGTCAGGGATCCTAGAGACTAGACCAAAAGGAAAACACAGATGGCCTCTCAAACTGATTTGATTTGACTTCGCAGGTCATTAGATGGTGGGTGCTGAGAGACCTAGACAGTTCCTACACTTTAAGAAATCTCCAAGGCCGGGCACGGTGGCTCACGCCTATAATCCCAGCACTTTGGGAGGCCGAGGCGGGTGGATCACGAGGTCAAGAAATCGAGACCATCCTGGTCAAAAAGGTGAAACCCCGTCTCTACTAAAAATACAAAAATTAGCTGGGCATGCTGGTGCGCGCCCGTAGTCCCAGCTACTCTGGAGGCTGAGGCAGGAGAATTGCTTGAACCCAGAAGGCAGAGGTTGCATGAGCCGAGATCGAGCCATTGCACTCCAGTCTGGGTAACAACAGCGAAACTCCGTCTCAAAAAAAAAAAAAAAAGAAATCTCCATATTGAGGTCTCAAATTGAGAAAGACTTAGACCCATGATAATAACCTGGGATAAATAATCTATGTTATGGATGCTCTTGTGTCTCGTCTCTTTTTTCTTTTTCTTTTCTTTTTTTTTTGAGACAGTCTCGTTCTGTTGCCCAGGCTGCAGTGCAGTGGTGTGATTTCTGCTCGTTGCAACCTCTGCCTCCCAGGTTCGAGGGATTCTCCTGCCTCAGCTTCCTGAGTAGATGGAATTACAGGCGCGTGCCACCACACCTAGCTAATTTTTGTATTTTTAGTAGAGAAGGGGTTTCACCATATTGGTCAGACTGGTCTCAAACTCCCGACCTCAGGTGATTGGCCTGCGTTGGGCTCCTAAAGTGCTGGGATTACACATGCGTGACCACCTCGCACGGCCTTTTTTTTTTTTTTTTTTTTGGCAGGGTCTCACTCTGTTGCCCATGCTTGAGTGCATTGGCCCTCTCACTCACTATAACCTCAACCTTCTGGGCTCAAGTGATCCTTCCACTTCAGTCTTCCAAGCAGCTGGAATTACAGGAATGGGCCACCATACCTGGCTAATTTTTTAAATTTTTCTGTAGAGATGGGGTTTCATCACGTTGCCCAGGCTGGTCTCAAACTCTTAAGCTCAAGCAATCCTCCCACAACAAGCTGAAGGATCAGCCAGAGTCATTGACACTGTACACCTTCAACTACTGGGCTTCCTAGCCATGGGGTCCAAAGCTGGGACTGCCCCGACACCAGTGGAAGGTCCCAAAACAACAATTTGGATGACATCAAATCGGCTCCCCAAAGTGCTGGGATTACAGGCATGAGCCACCATACCTCACATACAGTATCCAATGTAATGTAATGATTAAGAATTCAGGATCCAGGCTGGGTGCAGTGGCTAACATGAGGCAGGAGAATCACTTCAACCCGAGAGGTGGAGGTTGCAATGAGCTGAGATCATGTCACTGCACTCCAGCCTGGGTGACAGAGTGAGACTCTGTCTCAAAAAAAAAAAAAAAAAAAAAAAAATTCAGGATCCAGGCCCTGATAGAGGCTTGTGCCTGTAGTCTCAGCTACTCAGAAGGCTGAAAATGGAGAGATCACTTAGTGGTGGAGGTTGCGGTGAACCAAAATGATGCCACTGCATTCCAGCCTGGGTGACAGAGTGAGACCCTGTCTCAACAAAACTCCCCAAACACCAAGAACAAAAAAGAATGCAGGCTCTGATGATAGATTTCATTAGAATTCTAGCCACTAGGCTGGGCGCGGTGGCTCACGCCTATAATCCCAGCACTTTGGTGGATCACAAGGTCAAGAGATCGAGAACATCCTGGTTAACAAGGTGAAACCCCGTCTCTACTAAAAATACAAAAAATTAGCTGGGTGTGGTGGTGCACGCCTGTAGTCCCTGCTACTCGGAGGCTGAGGCAGGAGAATTGCTTGAACCCAGGAGGCGGAGGTTGCGGTGAGCCAAGATAGTGCCATTGCACTCCAGTCTGGGTAACAGCAAAACTCCGTCTCAAAAAAAAAAAAAAAAAAAAAAGAATTCTAGCCACTAAAGCCAGCCCTGGTGGCTCACGCCTGTAATCCCAGGACTTCAGGAGGCCGAGGCAGGCTGATTACCTGAGGTTGGGAGTTCAAGACCAGCCAGACTAATGTTGAGAAACTCTGTCTCTACTAAAAATACAAAATTAGCCAATATTGGTGGTATGTGCCTATAATCCCAGCTACTCGGGAGGTCGAGGCAGGAGAAAAGCTTGAACCCAGGAAGCGGAGGTTGGGGTGAGCTGAGATTGCACCATTGCACTCCAGCCTGGGTAACAGGAGCTGTTACCCAGTTCTTTTTTTCTCAAAAAAAAAAAGGCCAGGCATGGTGGCTCACACCTGTAATCCCAGCACTTTGGGAGACCGAGGAGGATCGCCAGGTCAGGAGATCAAGACCATCCTGGTTAACATGGATCCCATCTCTAAAAAAAAAAAACGAAAGAAAGGAAAAAAAAGAATTCTAGCCACTTAGAAGCTCTGTGATGGTCAGCAAATTGCTGAACTCTGCACCTCAGTCTCCTCATCTGTAATATGGGGTGATAATAGTATCTACCTTAAAGGGTTGTTGTGAAAATTAAATAGTTTAGTACAAGTGCTTAGACAAAGTACTTGGCATTAAGCGAGAGTTGGATATGTATTAGCCATCATTATTAACCACCTGGGGGAACTCATCTGGATTTGGAGTCTAGGCATACAACTGGAAAGGCCTGCTATGGAGTGTCTTGTGAATGTGATTTGCATAACGGTCTAGGCCCAGCTGACGTCAAGAGCTCCTTATAGCTCCAGGTCAGATGTAGCCCTGGAAGTAGTTCCTGCCACGCAACAGTCCCACAATCTCCCCACCAACCCTGCTTCCTACCCAACTCCTGCAGCACCAGGAAGTGAAACAGAGAGGACAAGCCCCGTGCCTCCAACTCACCCTTGTCCCTCTCATCCCATCCCCCCAGGCTCTACTTCCTCCTCCTTTTCATCTTTCTTTCATCTGTTATCTTTTAGAGCTCCCAGAATGGGGACCAGAGATGGGAATAGCATAGGAGACATTGTACACAAGTAAGGTGAACTCCCTATCCTGCCCCCTTCCATTTACTTATTCCATTTGTGTCCACAAAAGTTAGCTGGGCGTAGTGGCTCGTGCTTATAATCCCAGCTACTTGGGAGACTGAGGCAGGAGAATCGCTTGAATCCAGGAGGCGGAGGTTGCAGTGAGCCAAGATCACACCACTGCACTGGAAAGGCCCGCATTAGGGAGAAAGGCAAATCATTTCTCACCCAAACTCAGATAATTCTCTGATGCTTTAAATGTTTGACCTAAAGGGTAGATTTAACTCAGAATTTTAATATTTTTTTCTTCTCCCAGCTCATACCCTACAGAATAATAATATTTGAACCAGAAGTGTCATTGGGCAGTTTTGAATAGTTCTAAGGGAAGGGAGACCTCCATTCAGGACAAGTTTCTAGGAAGAAAAGGGTCAACCTCTTGGGGCAGGCTTTGGGAGCTAGCTGTGTGGTCACCAATGGCCTCATTCTGACGTCTTCGAAATTGTTCTGGGACCCTCCACTGGGGTCGGGGCAGTCCCAGCTTTGGACCACCTTATACTCCCACACCCAACCTCACACTCTTAGCTGTTTCACTAGATGTTGCATCATGGAGGGTGATGAAATCGGTGTCAGTGGATTTTACCCATGGATGCAACAAGCTGAAGGACCAGCCAGAGTCACTGACACTGTACACCTTCAACTACCCAGAACTCCTGGGCTTCCTAGCCATGGGGTCCAAAGCTGGGACTGCCCCAACCCCAGTGGAGGGTCCCGGAACAATTTGGATGACATCAGAATGAGGCTATGGGGCTAGGTGCTGGAATGTCTAAGTTGGACTTCCAGCCCTTATTTACACTAGTATCCTGAAAAAAACATCACCCAACTTTTATAGAGCCTATGAAATCTCGGGCCTCTAGGTTTGAAGAATCAGATGGTTCTTAGTCAGTAACCCTCTTCCCACAGTGCCTTTCTAACCTCTACTGTGAGGCCTGCTTCCCAGTTCTCCAAGTTCCTTCATGTCCATTCTCTCCTATGAAACAGGACCATCCGGTGGAAATAATGCTATTTCCAACTGAAAAAAAGAAGGCCATTTATTCTTAATAGAGGGCATCAGGTGGTAATCAAACTTCATTGCAAACAGCTCACTAGCCTATTGGGGGATGAATGAATGCTTCTCTGTTTTGGTTTTTCCTCAAGCAGGAGGAGGTGATGAAATTAGGTTTGGGGTGTGTTAGGGGTATAGCTTTGAGAGGCAAAAAGATCAGGGAAAGATCAAGCAGGAAGGAACTTACACCAGATTAATTTAAATATCTGTTACTCTTCCTTCCCCCTCTCGCCCTATCCCCGATGTGCCGTCCCCGCCCCTTCTACAGCCATTTCGATTCCTGGAGAGCATTACACATGTGTCCCATCCCAGGCCTCTAGCCACAGCAACCACACGACTCATTTCTCCTGGAACTGAGGCTGCATACCTGGGCTCCCCACAGAGGGGGAATCCCACCTGCTGTGAGTCACCTGCTGGCATAAAGGGCGGGCCTTACAATGCAGGGACCTTAAAAGACTCAGAGACAAAGGGAGAAAAACAACAGGAAGCAGCTCACAGACTCCGTAGACAACAGAGGGAACCTTACCAGAGACGCACTGAACAGAGAGAATCAGGCTCAAAGCAAGTGGAAGTAGGCAGAGATTCCACAAGGACTGGTACAAGGCACAGAGCCAGCTAGATTTGAGAAGGAGGCAAAAAGATGCTGGGGAGCAGAGCTGTAATGCTGCTGTTGCTGCTGCCCTGGACAGCTCAGGGCAGGGCTGTGCCTGGGGGCAGCAGCCCTGCCTGGACTCAGTGCCAGCAGCTCTCACAGAAGCTCTGCATGCTGGCCTGGAGTGCACATCCACTAGTGGGACACATGGTGAGTGGCAGCCTGTGGAACCAAACAGGAATCTCTCCAAGCTCTCCAAGGCTGTGGTGGAAGACTGTGGCCTCGGGTGGAAGCTGGAGGATTGAGGGCCATCAGGGAGTAAGGGAGAACAAGAGAGTAAGGTTCCTGAGAGTCATGGGCCTGAGGGTCCAGGTTGGCTTCAAAAATACTTATCTTACTTCTTCATTCTTTCCACCCCTTCCTCCATTCCAGCATCTAAGAGAAGAGGGAGATGAAGAGACTACAAATGATGTTCCCCATATCCAGTGTGGAGATGGCTGTGATCCCCAAGGACTCAGGGACAACAGTCAGGTACCACTGGGATGTGACTGGGCCATGAAGGAGAGGGGCCAGAAAACATGGCTCAGTACCATGGTAACCTAGAAGTTGTGTCTGAAAATCGTAAGAAACTGGGAGAGTCTTCAGTGAATGTAGTAGAAAGAGGGTGTCCTCTTTCATTGCTTTCTTTTCTTTTTAGTTCTGCTTGCAAAGGATCCACCAGGGTCTGATTTTTTATGAGAAGCTGCTAGGATCGGATATTTTCACAGGGGAGCCTTCTCTGCTCCCTGATAGCCCTGTGGGCCAGCTTCATGCCTCCCTACTGGGCCTCAGCCAACTCCTGCAGGTATGAACTAGGGGCCTGGAGGATGGGGGCTTGCAGGTTTCAGAGACAGCGGGTTGGGGATTAAGGGTCTAGAGTCTTCTTTGACTGTGTCCTATGTCCTTTCAGCCTGAGGGTCACCATTGGGAGACTCAGCAGATTCCAAGCCCCGGTCCCAGCCAGCCATGGCAGCGCCTCCTTCTCCGCTTCAAAATCCTTCGCAGCCTCCAGGCCTTTGTGGCTGTAGCTGCCCGGGTCTTTGCCCATGGAGCGGCAACCCTGAGTCCCTAAAGCCAACAGCTCGAGGATGACACTCAGATCTCCATGGCCCAGTAAGGCCAAGATAAATCTACCAGCCGGTACCTGTGAGCCAACAGGTTAATTAGTCCATTAATTTTAATGGGACCTGTGGATGTTGAAAATTAGCAATACTGACTGACTTGTGATGCTGACCTATGATAAGGTTGAGTATTTATTAGATGGGAAGGGAAATTTGGGGATTATTTATCCTCCTGGGGGCAGTTTGGGGAGGATTATTTATTATATTTATATTAAATAATGTACCTTTTTCAATAAAGACTTATTTTTGTGGCTATATGAGTTTACTTTCTAGGCTCAATTGGGAAAGAGAAATCAATGGAAAAGTAAGGCCAAGGGACTGCAATATGCATCCCTTTCTTCTACTCTGCAGGGTTAGGGTTGAGAGTGGTATTGTCTCATGACCCCCTGGTATATAGAATAACTGGGATCTCTTTGGTATTAATTCCTATATGGCTGAGTAAGCAGAATGGGATTACCAAGGGTTGAGATTAGGAAATGGGGTCATACCTAGGGGTCCCTTGCTCCCTGATCCAGTGCCTCCTTCCCTGCTTTCTTGGCCAAGGGTATATCTGGCCCAAGATAGGAGCCCTGATCACTGCAGGATCAAAAGTCAGAGCTCAGTTTTGAGCAGGAAGGGCATTCCAGGGAAATGGCTAATCTCCCAGACCAATGGGACTCTCCCCTCAAAGGACATCTGGAGTCCCTTTTTTTTTTTTTTTTTTTTGAGATGGAGCCTCACTCTGTCGTCCAGGCTGGAGTGCAATGGCGCGATCTCGGCTCACTGCAACCTCCGCCTCCCAGGTTCAAGCAATTCTCCTGCCTCAGCTTCCCGAGTATCTGGGTCTATAGGCACCCACCACCACGCCCAGCTAATTTTTGTATTTTTAGTAAAGACAGGGTTTTACCATGTTGGTTAGGCTGGTCTTGAACTCCTGACCTCAGGTGATCCACCTGCCTTGGCCTCCCAAAGTGGTGGGATTACAGGCATGGGCCACTGTGCCCGGCCTTGGAGTCCCTTTGGAAGGTAGTTTGGTAACTCAAGGATAGCTGAAATTCTTTAAAAAAAAAGAAAAGAAAAAAGAGGAGGCGAAGTGGCTAGTAATTATTTCCTTTCCTTTTTTCCATAGTCATAGCATCAAAAATTATGGGCTTTGAAGTCAGACAAACCCAGCCAGGTTTGTATCTTGGCTTTGCCACCAGTCAGCTGAGTGACAATGATAGTTTTGTAACTACTCATCCCTCCCCCTACAACACATAGATAGCTCCCAGCATCCCTAGAAGAGCCTAAGGGACAGGAGGGGCTGCTCCAAACAGGGAGGGAGGTAGAAGAAACCTGACTAGAGGAACATAGGGAGGTGGATGGAAGAGAGGCCACATTTTTCTGACTTCATTTCTGTGTAGCTTGTTGGTGTCCCTAAGAACATTAGTCTTTGTGAGCAGAGAAATAAAAAGGTTCAGAGATGAGACATTTCCAGATCAGCATACAGTTTATTAGCCATTTCTTCTCAGAAGAGCCCCTTTCTCAACAGGACTGCTCCTCTGACATAACAGACAAGAAACAGCCACCTGTGCAGGGCCTTTCATTTATATCTCGAGTTACATCAGGAGGACATTTTAAAGCAATGTCAGTTGCCTGCTGGGGTTTCCTGGGAATAGCTAAGGTGTGAGATTGTCCAGAGTCCTATGACAGACGTTCAAGGTTTTAAGTTCCACAGACTTGGTCTTTGCCCAGGTCCACAAAAGGAATTGAAACCTTCCTTTCAGGTAAACAACATATTGTACAAAAAAGGGAGGATGATATCGTAATAGAGAAATAGCTAAGACCCAGCGCTTCTCCTCTGTAAAAACACCAAACTTTATCTAATACTATAACAAGAAATTCCTGCTGGGCGCGGTGGCTCATGCCTGTAATCCCAACACTTTGGGAGGCTGAGGCAGGTGGATCACCTGAGGTCGAGAGTTTGAGACCAGCCTGACCAACATGTCCCTAATAAAAATACAAAATTAGCCTGGTGTGGTGGTACATGCCTGTAATCCCAGCTACTTGGGAGGCTGAGCCAGGAGAATCACTTGAACCCAGGAGGGGGCGGTTGCAGTGAGCCAAGATCATGCCATTGCATTCCAGCCTAGGCAACAAGAGTAAAATTCTGTCTCAAAAAAAAAAGAAAGAAAGAAATTCCTGGGCAAGTACAGTGGCTCATGCCTATAATCCCAACATTTTGGGAGTCCAAGGTGTGAGGATCACTTGAGCCCAGGAGTTCAAGACCAGCCTGGGCAACATAGCGAGACCCTGTCTCTACAACAAAACAAAAACTAAAACAGCAGGGCATGATGGTGCATGCCATGGTCCCAGTTACTCAGGAGGCTGAGGAGGGAGGATTGCTTGAACCCAGGAGATTGAGGCTGCAGTGAGCTGTGATTGTGCCACTGCACTCTAGCCTGGGCAACAAAGTGAGATGCTGTTTCAAAAAAAAAAAAAAAAAAGCAATTCCTAAATTTCCAGCAGCCCTACCATCCCCAGCCTCCAGGAGTGATCTATTTCCTAAGTACTGAGAGTGGAGACCAGGTGGCATACGTTAGTGTGCAAAGCTTCACAGGTACATTAGATTGGCAGGATCATTTTATGGGGGAGGAACAGGTACAGCCAGCTTAGGGGCACAGTAGGGGAGGAGACTGGTAAGAAAGAAAAAGGTCTACTTCCTGTCCATCCCCTTCCTCAGGGTGGAGTTTCACATGGTAGGCTAAGGCAGAAAGCTCTCAGCCCCTGCAGGAATAGAAGAAATTTAGGGCTTGAGTCAGGAGTGAAGGAAAGAAGAAAGGAAAAGTTATCCTAGACATGAAGGAATGGAAGAAATAAATGGAGTCCTATCCTGTGTCTGTACTCCCCACCAAGGGCCAACGCCAGTGTGCACCAGTTTAGCCTAACCGGCTATTAAAATGTGGAAATCCTTCCATACTGGAAAGAAGCCACTGTCCTGAGCCCTCCAAGAGCCTGTCAACTGACCTGGCCTGCCCCCAGGACCCCTATACTTCCCAGTACAGCTGGCAGCCTCCAGGATCCTATTTAGACCTATGGCTCAGCATCTGTTCTGATTCATTGTTGTCCCTTCCATATCCATGTTATGCTTTCACCTCTCACCCCAGTGGAGTCACACGGGCATGAGTTTGAACAGTTAACCCAGCTTAGAAGGGGCACATGCCTGATTCACATCCTTGGAGAGCATGGTATCGGGAGTAGGAAGGGCAAGAGATACAAAAAGAACAGAGGAAATGTGGTTCCTAGAAGTCAGAAGGCATCAAGGGTCCATCAGCGTAGAAGTGGCTGGGGCAGGAGACGAAAGCCTCATCTGTGGTGTTCTGGCCAGCCAACAGTGGGTCACCATTCGGCATGATTTCTTCAATCTTTATACAATTTCTGAAAACTAGGTAATCCAGAGAGAAAAGTTACGTCCTGACCTTAGGAATTTCCAACCCAGCAGGGAAAGGGAGGGAGGATGGCCGGAAAGGCCTGGGAAGAGCCTGAGGGAGGTGGGGGAAGGCATGTGTAATTCCTAAACAAAGGAGTCAGAGATAATGGGCCTCTTTCCAAGGAGGAGCTTGGAGCTCAGCTTTTTCTGTAATGGAGAGGGAGTGGCAGAAGAGGTAGGAAAGGGAATGTGTATCCTCTTCCATCGCTCCATCTCATCACTTACTTTCCATTGGCTCAGTGTTCAAATGTCTCAGATCACAGGGCAAATCTGGTTCTGGCACTGGCTGTGATACAGGTCCTTGGTCTGGCTGTGGCACTGTTTGTGATACCGTGCATAGTGTGGGCTCCATTACAGGGTCCAGAGTGGACTCCAGCACAGACTCTAGTGCTGGCCCCAGATCCAGCCCTGCCTTCAGCAGTGACTCTAAGTCCAGGTTGAGCTCTGGCACCAGGCCTAGCTCCGGCTCTAATGACTCCAGCTCTGGCTCCGGCTTAAGCTCCAGCGGTTGTTGCAGTTCATCCACCTGTCTGGATACCCAAAAACAGACAAAGAGGCAGGATTCAATGGTTTAAGTGAAATAGGGAATGGTAGAGCAAGCAGGAGCCGTCTCCCTTGTCTAAGAAGGTAGTAGAGTGGAGGGCTAAAGAGCATGGGGTTTGGAATCAAGCTTGCTAGAGTTTGAATCCTATCATTTACTAGCTAGGGGACCTTAGGCAAGTTACCTAACTTCTCTGAGCCTCAGATTTATCATCTATAAATGAGAACAATACCTAGTAATTCTTGAGAGGCAGCAGGGTGGTTAAAAGCAGGGCTATGGAATCTGACCTGTATCATTTATTAGCCACTTACCTTAAGTACAAAACTTTACTACTCTAAATCCAGTTCCTTAGCTGAAAACAGTGTTTGCTGCATAGGACTATTTTGTAGATTCAATAAAATAAGAAAACACCATTTAGCCTACTGCCTGGCACATAATAAACTTTCAGGACAGGCACAGTGGCTCATACCTGTAATCCAAGCACTTTGGAAGGCCAAGGTGGGCGGATCACTTGAGGCCAGGAGCTTGAGACCAGCTGGCCAACATGGTGAAACCCTGTCTCAACTAAAAATACAAAAATTATGCCAGGTGCAGTAGCTCACACCTGTAATCCGAGCACTTTGGGAAGCCAAGGTGGGTGGATAACAAGGTCGGGAGTTTGAGACCAGCCTGGCCAATACAGTGAAACCCTGTCTCTACCAAAAACACAAAGATTAGCCAGGCATGGTGATGTACACCTGTAGTCCCAGCTACTCAGGAGGCTGAGGCAGGAGAATTGCTTGAACCTGGGAAGGGGAAGTTGCAGTGAGCTGAGATCATGCCACTGCACTCCAACCTGGGCGAGAGGGTAAGACTCCATCTAAAAAAAAAACAAAAAACAAAAAAACCTCCCAAAAATCAGCCAGGCATGGTGGTGCTCACCTGTAATCCCAGCTACTCAGGAGACTCAGGCAAGAGAATCGTTTGAGCTTGGGAGGCAGAGGTTGCAGTGAGCTGATTGTACCATTGCACTCTGACGTGGGCAACAAGAGTGAGACTCCGTCTCAAAACAAACAAAAAATTTATTCCCAGCCAAGTGCTGTGGCTCATTCCTGTAATCCCAGCACTTGAGTCTAGGAGTTCAGGACCAGCCTGGGTAACATAGTGAGAGCCCCATCTCTACAAAAAATTCAAAAAATTAGCTGAGCGCAGTGGTGTGTGCCTGTAGTCTCAGCTACTTGGAAGGCTAAGGCAGGAGGATCACTTTAGCCCCCAGGTCAAGGCTGC